GTTTTATTGTTGCACATATTTTTTGAAGCATTTCTCAGCTGTTCGTTATAAAATATCGCGGTTCTAACGTCCCTGTTTTATAACGACAAAAAATCTTTCACGAAAAAAGTTTAATCCTAAATTTCAGCAGTTATTTTTCGCGTCCTTTGGTATAGAATATCGAAGGTCTTATTCCTTAAAGCTAAGAAATGTCTATATAGCGAAACTAAATCTATTAAAACAATGGCATTAATGTTTGCCGCAAGCATATATGGACAACAAATGTTTCGCTTGCTTCACATAAAATGTCTAAAAATGGCTCTTGTTTTTGGTAGTTAATTTTCTTTCATCACTAGTACTGGACTCACAACAGCTATAAGGTAGATTAGGGGGTGTTTAAAGAACATTTCAATGTATAAAATTCCCAGTTAATCTTAGTGATTCCTATTTCCGCCAGCCTGTCAGACAGGGTGGGCGTGGCCTAAACGTGGTTGACTATCAACGGTTTGTTTTTCAAAGAGCGCACTGCTTTGTTTTAAGCAAAGGGAAAAGCTCCTCAAGTATAACAAAACATGGGTTAGAACGAACTAAGAGGGTTTGCTTTTGAAGTCCACGACACTTATAAACCCTTGATAACTGTATTACCAACTTTCCTATAAGTCGTTCTTAACAATCTTGAGCGAGCAGGAAGTGGAAAAATACTACTATTAGAAAATGAGCTCAACTTAGTACTCGCTGACAGGATAAGTACAAGGTCCAATCATTTAAGAAACACATCGGTAAAAAACAAGAACAAATCAAAGAGGTTGATTTATAGCTCCAGTTTGAGATTCGTTATTGTTGAACGTATCCGTTGAGAAAGTTAATCTCCGGTTTGATACGAGCGACATTGAGCATCACATCACTTCATAAACAAATGATATTTTAACCAGAGAAAAAAAACGTTTTGGATATTTATCTCATTAGCGCCTTAATTCATAAAAACACATGAACAATTAACGGAGGTGCTTGATCCGCCCGAACACTGACCCTAAAGCCGACATCTTACTAAGTGACCCGATTGAAAAACAATCAGAAACAATCAAGATATGTTAAAGATGATAAGACCACACCTAGACCCTGGAACAATAGGCGGACGGGGGGAGGTATTATAATCGTTATCATCGCTTTATCTTTTCGCTTCAATTCAATATTGTATCTAATAACTGGGTGGTAAGGAAACCAAGGGAGAGATAACATACCAAAAGTACAGTCCTGCTGTAATTATCGAGTAAGTATCACACGTTGAGTTCAACATTTGTTCTTTATCTATTTTAAAAGCAACCGTAAGTGGAAATCAAATGATTTTAAAGTTCAATGCAGGTAAGGTATTTAGATTAGGAACGCTTTAATGCTAGTTTTTGATGGTGTTTTTTTCTTTGAATGGTCAAAAATGAGAAGTGAATGCATACGTGTTGAGAGTTGTTCCTAACAAGATCACCCCATGCACTAAGCAACTAACTGATATCATCTCATATCGTAATCATGTTAGATCTGTATCTAACTATCATGTTACTGTTCGCCGATTGCGATGAACATTGGTAGAACTATAGATAAAAGGACAAGTTTTTAGTACACTCTATTGTACGAGTAGTGCAAAACGTTTTAGAATTCTTAACTGGGACTACAAACATATAATTCCTTGTTCACCGACTTAAAAAAGAAAAAAAGAAGAAGAAGAAGAAAAAAAAAAATGGATTGAAGAACGAGTTAGAACAATATACTTTCTCTTTTTGGCCACTAGAATTATTTTCGCATTTTTTTTGCCGACACACTAGTTTAAATTGAAGCTCTTGTTTCGGTGATCCGAAAATATTTCTATTCCTTTTGAAACTTAATAAAGATGGAAAGTTAAGTTATGAAGTATTTATTCAGTTTCTAGTTTCATTTTATTTAACCCTTGGAAAGATTATTGAAATCTCTAAGGAAACTCAACTGAATAACTTGCGTCAATATTTCTGGAATGTTTTGAGTAGAAATAGAAAGAGCAGTAGCGCTTCCTTTTTCAGTTTGGAGAAGAGTGCATACCATTTATCCCATGAAAAAGTCAACTAACACAATTTTACAAATTAGTGCAAAGTTTTTAATTTTAATTTTTTAGTTTTTAAGTTTTTAACTTGTGAAAAAAATTACAATTTTTACCGAGTTTTTCACGAATATATGTGTAGAGATAGTAAAGAATAAGTTGGTTCGTGATCACTAAACGATCTCTAGGTCAGTTAAGTGTTGTCCTTATCAAAGTATTGTAAAACAAGATACATTTTACACATAAAAACACGAAAAAATAAACTAAAATAACAAGGCAATGATAAAAAAGAAATATGTTGTAAAATATGAACATTGCACTAATCTCAAAGTCAAGTTTTTCGCTTTTTTGATTATCATTTCATCTCAAGTCAAGGTGCGCAGAATGCGAAAACTTCAAGCTCTGTTTCTACGCTGTCATTTTTTATCATCGGCTTTTTTCTTCATTCTGTCGGTTTTTCAAACGGTCGTTTCATCTTAATTTTCTAAGACAAACGAATCTAACTTGTAGTAATAAAATCTAGAAAGAAAACCAAGCTCAATTCAAATATCAGCTGAGATTTTGCTGGCGTTGTCGTTGAAACTAATGATCACCTCGGGGGCACATTACATACAATCATATGATCTTTAACTTATCTTTTTTATGATGATAATGATGACTAGAAATATGAGTAAAAATGAAATACCGCATCTTTTGTGTCGATGTAAAAACCAAAATTGCTGTACAGTATAACTGCAAGCGCGTCACAAAATTTTCCCTATGTAGCTTAGTACCATAAAGTTATGTATTGTTTTCTAATGCTGTATTTTATAAAAACATACATTGGCAAATTCTCTAGAGTAAGGAACCAGTTTAGTCTTCGAGTTCTGAGACGAGCAAGTAGAAAATGCGTCTCAAACTGATCGAGAGAACAAACTGCGAGTGACTACTATTCTATTTTGCTTACAATTACCATTATCAATTAAGCAATCTCAATCCGAAAAATCGAGCTGTGTTTTCCTGGTTTGAAATGCGGCATTAACAGTTCACCGACAAGAGCTTCTATTCCTATAAGAGCTTAGTGCAGTACACATCTCATATTGACCGAGTGTGAGGTCCCTATTCAAGTTATTGACCGTAAAATAACCAATTGTAGCACATGAAATTACACTTCAGTTCGCCACACGATAAATATCTCTTGTTAACCGAGTGTGGAGTGCCCACCTAGTTATGGACCGCAATGCAAATTGTTCAATCGTAGCAAGTGTAATTACACTATGCCATATTATACAAATCTCTTATTCACCGAGTGTGAGGTCCGTAAGGTAAGTTATGGACTGCAAATTGACCAATCGTTGCGCGTCTTGCTGAGTGAGAGAGGTGTACTAACTGAGTTAATGTGTTACGTTAGGCTTGCAGTGATGGAAGAAACGACTCAGATAACTAACGAAGTCCTCAACAGAGTTCTGTACGGTAACCAGCTCTACAGTAGTTTCTCCTACGAGGATTACGTCTACAGGAATTGTTCCACTTATTTACCGGTGGTACCCGTACGAGATGGCTATCTCGCTTCTCAAGGTGGGTCTATGTAGCTATGAGTGTACGTGCAAGGATTTCAATCAAGTGTTAGAGGCGAAGGAACATTTTGCTTGATGCGTTGTCAGTTAAAGCTGAGGTCATTCAAACAAAGTTTGAAAAAATGTTTCTTGGTATTTTGAAAAGAAAAAGGATAAGAAAAAGACTGGAAGGAAAGGAAAGGAAAGGAAAGGAAAGGAAAGGAAAGGAAAGGAAAGAAGAAAGTAAAAGAAAAGAAAAAAAAGAAAAACTAACTAAACACAAGTAATCAATTAAATGAACGATTAAACAAACAATTAAATGATCACAATCAGGCAAGGAATAAAATAAATTCGTTAAACATGGAAATAAGCTGAATCTCCATTGACAATTGACAATGACCACAAACTTTCTGTGGCAAGGTGTCCTAGGTCATTGGATCATAGAGTATGCATTTGCTACATTGTCAGGTTGGTATCAATAAGTATTAAGCAAAAAATGGTTAACTGGGACACAACTTTTGTAATTTTAACTTGGTTATAACATTAAATAATACGTAATAAATATTTAAAAATGTCAGATGGGACGCAACTTTTTAAAATGAGCTTGTTTCAAATATTTTATTGATTATTTAACAAAGTCAGGGACCCCAGTCCATAATATGAAATATTAATAATCTATGACACCCATATAAGTAAGAAAATGTGGACGAATTTTGCCATGGTCATGTGTCTTGGAAATTCCAGGATTAGAGTGAAAGCATTTAACCCGTGAAATAAAAAGTTCAACGTGCCAATAGTCACATAGACACAAAAGAAAGCAGTGGAATTAGAGTCTACTAATGTGTGTTAATCTAATATCTATTTCACGGGTTTAATGACGTCACTCTACCTTGACAAAAATGTATTACTCAAGAGAATGACACGTGGTCTGAA